CGGCAGTCGCCTAAAAGCCGTGTTGAGCAGTAAGCGAGAGCCTTAAAACCCTTAGAGAAAGAGAAAGACGATACTTATTGTACTCCGCGTCGCACTTGATCGTAGCTTGTTAAGAGTTAAGGGCGGTCGATCTTGCGTTGTATTTATATTAGTCGGTCAATCTTAGCCGTTGGATTTTCTTTTACCATTTATAGGAAAAACAAAGGAAAATTCTAAAGATTTCTACCATTTTTACCATTTGTAATCGAAGAGAAAAATGGAAGCTTTATTGATTTTTTTTTTTTCATCGGAAACTTTTTACATTATAAACTGGATGGGATTCGTTAGTGAAATACAAAGGTATGATACTTAGACCACATCGGCAACAACAGAAGGCCACAACGGGGCGAACAAAACACGATTCCAAGAATCTTAAAGACTACAGCATAGAAATACACAAACGAAACAGAACTACACCACTTCAAACAAATCGATAAGAAAACAGAAAAATAGCCTAAGACTCATGACCTAAAACGGAAGGAGTAATCATCGGTGGTGAGACCTCCAAGACCAACCATTATGAATCTGCATATGTCGATAAAAGCCGACCAGATCTGATCTAGTGCAGTCAAAAGAGAAGGATTGATTAAAAGAACAATTCATCAATGGATTACAAAATTATGTAGAATAAGACGGTTTCTGATCAAACAGCTAGAAGAACACAAGTACTTATCACCACCCTGATTGCTCTTTATAACCTTGGGACCTTTGCATCCCAAGCCACAAATGCAACAGTATCTTGGAGCAGCCAAAGCATTCTCTTCCACCACAAACTCGTGGCCAAACAGCGTGAAACACATTCTTAACTCCAAGTTTAGACCACCAGCTACACAATGAGTGTGAAAAGTTGAGCAGCAAGAGTTCTCATCACAAGTATAGAATATTGCATTCTTATCGACTTTCTTCTCGCAAATCTCGCACCAGTAATCACCTCTACGTGCCTCATCCTTCGTAATATCTAAGATGAGATCATGTTTGTCGTACTTGTGCCTTGCCAATACAGGTAACTGAGCACAATCAAACCCCAAATGGAAGTCACAGCTATCACAAGACAGAACAGGAGAAGCCCATAACTCGCAAACACCGCATTGATTTTTGTCAGTTGATTTAAAGGTAAGAGGGTGGATATGAATGGCAGATTTGAAGGGTAAAGTGATTGAAGCGCATCCTACATCCAAGTTGAAACCAGGATCACATGTATACTTGACACCATCATTCAATTGGCCACAAGCACTGCAGCAAAAGTACTTTTCATGAAACTCCAATTCTGATCTAGATTTGCAGCCTTCCAAAATAAGTGGATGGTTATGAAGCATAGATCTCTTTCTCTTAGGGAGCTCAGTGCATCTTTCATGAAGGAAGAAATTACATACCGTGCAGCCGTAGTGGGGAGTAGAAGCAACAGGTAACTTGCACATATCACATCTCGTGTTCACATCATCAACTTCACCACCTTTGTGAAATCTTAGCATATGCTCATGTGTAAAATGGCATATCGTTTCTTCGTCTATTAAAGCCATAGGCAAAATTCCTTCATACTCGTTCGGTGTATCTTCAAGTTCTCTTGCCTCTCTTACTTTTCCGCAGGCTATGAATTTCGAATGGACAGATCCACATCCACAAGACCAAAATTTGGGACTAAGAGAATAAGAGCGGGGACGCTTTTCAGGAGAATCTATGTGTCGTTGGAGCTCATATGGGAAATAGACGCAATGGATATGGAACATGAAATTGCAAGGTAGACAAAGATAAGGAGATCGATCACCTTTTAAGCCACAAGCATCACAAGTGAATGAGACATTCTTCATCAGGAGGTGGAGTTTATGTTGATCCACCTTAGGTTGGTCAATCTCAAGCAATGGTGGGTTCTTGGCACAAGTCAGATCCAACTTGAAGTCACATATGTGACAACAATAGACTAGTAACATTAGCTTTTCGCCGCACAAGCAACATTTTCGATCGGGGTTAGTATCTGGTAGAGTTTCACACTTGACAAGGTAAAGAGAGTGTTGGGGATGAAAAGGGTGGGTGATTAGCTCTGGAGCTGACTCGATGCATTCCTTGTGGAAGAAGATATCGCATTCAGGGCATTCGAGAAACTCTTCAGAACGTTCTTTTCCTTCAGAACAACCAGCGCATTGACCGTGGTCAGCGGTAGAGTATAAAGGATGATCGTGAATGGGAAACCTCTGAGAGATTGAGAGGTCGTAGGGATTAGACTTGTGCAGTACTCGAGACATTTATCTACACTGGTTTTGTTTGATAAGAAAAGGGAAAATGGTGGTCTTAAAGATCTTAGTTATGTCTCAAGTCTTGTAAGAATCTTTTTTGGAGTACAGCAAAGGAGAAAGACAAGGCAGAGTTATATATTGAGCAAGTTCTTTCACTACCATTCGTGATGTATAGTCAAAAAGTTAAGTCTTTGTTCACATAAAATTATTTTGATTATTTGTGTTTTATTGGTTTACGGTCTTAATCAATCTCATTTTAAAACTAATGTGTGGGCTGTAATTAATTAAGAGCCTAAGATAAGATTTTATATTAATGCATGTCTGTAATTAAGAGCCTAAGATAAGATTTTATAT